CTTAGATGAAAAATTATTCAAATAAATGTCATCATCCTAACATTTAGATCAGATATCGAGGACACCTTTCTAACCGGTTTTAGACCGATACAAAAATGTATAGGCTCCAGAAAATCCGTTTAAAAAAAAATTTTTTTTTTCAAAATCACGTTTTTTTTTTTAATTTTGATTTTTTAGAGGTTAGAAATCTTTTTTTCGACTTCTGATCATCACCATTCGAAAGAGCACCCTCGAAAACATAGGGTACGGTTAGTTTTAAGTTATTTCAGTTCGATTTCATTGCGAGGTAACAATTCAAACTCAAACTTAAAAAATGTGTCCTGTGGACGTTAACGGGTTAACCCATTAACGCTCACAGGACGGTTTTCCGAAAGCTGAGTTCAAATTAGTACCACGTAACGGATTTGAAAGCCAAAATTTCGGGAACCACTGTTACTTATGTTTTGAAGGGTGCTCTTTCGAATGCTGTAGGTTAAAAGTCCCGCCAAGGAAGATTTGCCATTAAAAAATTGAAAATAAATAAAAAAAGCTGAATTTTTCGGCTAAATTTTTTTTTCATATCGAATTTTCGATCCCGTAACATGTTTTTATATGCTCCAAACCCCTTTAGATCGCGGCCTCGATGTCTGAAGTAAATATTAGTAAGGTTTCCCAAACATGAAAATTTGTTGTGTAAACAAAATGGCGTCCGATATGAAATATATTTTTTTTAATTTCATTATTTTTTTACTCGAAAACCAAGCATTTTCGTAGAAATTTTCTAAGAACAAAATCATCTTAAAATTGATCAAAGAATATCCTCAAATTTTTTCAGAATGGTCCTGGAAAATTTTTGAATTTTCGAAGTCACGAAATTGAAAATTTTAAAATTGTATCGGAAAATTCTGGAATAATTCTAGGATATTCTCCGATCAATTTTAAGACATTTTATAACGAATCGTTTGTATCTTCGTTATGTCTCTCTCTCTCCAAGAAGCCAGTAACTAATATATTTAATAATCATTATAAATTACCTTATTGTTTGAATAGTTACAGCATTACGGACGTCAGCGAACTGGTAAGCGACGCGACTTGCGTACGATAATCGATATCGACTCGCGGCGCGGACCTCGTGGAGAGACGCTTCCTTGCGAGGAGAGAGAGAGAGTTTCGAATATTGATATAGTCCGTTTTCGGCGATCGATGGGTTAACGTCCCTCGCGCGAGTCGTCAGGAGTATCCTTCAATTTCCTTCTGGCGAGCCGAGGCCTACCGCGGACATCCAGCCTACGTACGCTGCCTACACGATAAGAGAGGCGTTGTTGAGAGTCAGCCGACCAGCGGAAGCGAGTGCGCGGCAGAAGCGAGCCCGCTATTGTGTGCCCTCGGTTTGCGGATTAGAGTAGGCGTACAAGCGACCATACTGTAAGTACCAGATCTAGTACCTGGCTTCTCTCTCTATACCGCTCTCTCCCTTTTTGCGTTGACTAAGCCGCGCGTTTACGCTCGCCTTTTCTTTTGTCGCTTCCACGTTCGAACGGTGCGCGCCGGTTCGCTGTCGCCATTGTGCACAGCTCACAACAGAGCGAGTGCTTGCGCGACCTTAACCGCGTAGCGCGTGCGCAGTTCCGTTCGCTTCACTGTTAAACTATTGCGAGTTCGTTGCGTTGCGATTAATATTGTTTATATCGACGCGTTTCGATGCTATGTATTCCTTTGTTGCTAATTAAAATTTATACGCCTCTACTTTTAATTATATTCGAGTGCTTATTGTCCGCCGACTCCCTGTTCCTTGAATTGCAATTGTGTATGCGACTGTACACGCGCGAATCTCTCTCTTTGGACGTCGCGCATCTTCACGCGTAACCTACGACACTCTCCGCGGGCCAAGCTTTCTGACCGAAAAGGAGGCAACTGAGCTGCTGGACCCAGGACACCCGGTGCAGGAGCACCGTGCTGCTCTGGAGAGCAACCTAATTTATTTCCCGCGACTTATAAAATATAACTGTTCCTGTCCAGGCGAAGCTGAGCAGAAACCCCGTTATAATTTTTGTTCTTGGAAAATTTGTTGTAAATATTATAGTTTTCGAGCAAAATGCCCTTAAATGGCAGTACATACCTTGTGAAACATTTTTTATCTTGAAAAAATTTGAGGATATTCTTTGATCAATTTTAAGATGATTTTGTTCTTAGAAAATTTCTACGAAAATGCTTGGTTTTCGAGTAAAAAAACCATGAAATTAAAAAAATATATTTCATATCGGACGCCATTTTGTTTACACAACAAATTTTCATGTTTGGGTAATCTTACTAATATTTACTTCAGACATCGAGGCCGCGATCTAAATGGGTTTGGAGCATATAAGATCATGTTACGGGATTGAAAATTCGATTTGAAAAAAAAATTTAGCCGAAAAATTTAGCTTTTTTTATTTATTTTCGATTTTTTAATGGTAAAACTTCCTTGGCGGGACTTTTAACCTACAGCATTCGAAAGAGCACCCTTCAAAACATAAGTAACAGTGGTTCCCGAAATTTTGGCTTTCAAATCCGTTACGTGGTACTAATTTGAACTCAGCTTTCGGAAAACCGTCCCGTGAGCGTTAATGGGTTAAGTTATAAATAGTTTTATACACACATATACATGTATATTTACATATGTATATGTGTATATATGTATTTATGTATGAATGTATATGTATATATATATACACACATATATTTCTTAGAATTAAAAAAACTTATATGAACTATTAAAATGATTTTTCACTTTATTAAGAAAATAGTGTTATTCTCATTACATTATGTCATTTCACTTCACGTAATAAAATATATAATAAGTTAAATAAATATATAATAAGTTAAATAAATATATAATAAGTTAAATAAATATATAATAAGTCAAATAAATATATAATAAGTTAAAATATTTATTTGAATGAAAAAGGAATTTCTTGTTTTTTCATGCTCGATCAGATTCATCATCTGTTGCATCAGATAGTTGTAGTGGTATGAATGGATTAGATTTGCGCGTAGACTGCTGTCTACAATAATTATATAAAATTATATTTATGATTTGTACAGAAATACAATTACAATAATTAATTTCCTTTATAATACTACGTACAATTACAATAATTAATTTCCTTTATAATACTACTAACGTAGTCACGTTTGAACGTAGTGCCAGCTTGATCTAAAAATGCAGATAATGACTTTTTAATACTGTCATCTGTAGTTTAATACATCAGTCATTTAATACGTCATCTGTAGTTTTCGGGAATGAAGACTTCACAGCTGCTAAAAAATTATAATAAAACATGTATTTTTAATTATGTTCCACATACATATGTATATATATATATATATATATATATATATATATATGTTCCATCGTCACAAAGACGCATATATGTATATTTCTGTATGAGTGAGTTTTAGCGCCATTCTCATGAACACGACGGAAGTGGCGGCGCTGGCCACGCCGCTCGCTCCCGCGCGTACATGTGAATGCGCGCGAAGACGAAAGAATGAGCGACAATTCGCGCTAGTCGTCGACGACAATCCACAGCGTGCGGAGCTCCCTCGCGTCTCTTAACCTTTCATAAGGTTTTCTTGCATCATTGCAATTTTACTCTCGCCGTCATCGACTTATAATTATTGAAAAATTGTACGCATTATCGTCATCGGTAGTGTATTTTGTGTGTGTCAATTGTGTGTTGATTAAAAATCAAATCTAATTCTAAGAACGAGTGTGGGCCACGCGGCCATTGTGTGTGCTTCGCTCGTGTGCGGCTTGTGCGCGCGTGTTGCGTCATTCATCATAGCTTTAATCTCATAATAATTCTTCATTGTAATTCAATAAAAGGGTTTTGTGCCGTAATAGGCTTTCCCTTCAAATAGTGATTTGTCATTTTACCTTAACCTTTGATAATAATAAAAAAATTAAAGTAAAAGTAAAATCAGATAATTTTCAACGGGGTTTTACACCAACTTTAAATCATTCAATTTGTAATAAATTAAAATTTGGTGTATTCAGTTCAATTATATAGAATCAATAACAAATAGCTCAAGCTGCTGAGCCCCAACGGTTAGGCAGCTCACGATCTTTCATGGTGCCTCCTGTGAGGTGTGCATCACCTCGCGCAACTTTTGAGTGACGTGACGCGCGTGCATGTTTCAGCGATTTCACGCGCGCACATAAAAACTATAGCAACACTCGTTGCACTTATCATACGTTCTGGCGAGCCTCAGTGTTCATCGAGCCTGACGTACATCAGTCAACCATCATCCAACAGCATTCAACGTCGTTGTCGCTCCCTTCGCCAAACATCTCACCACCCAGTTGGTCGCAGCGCATATCAAAGGTCGACGTGGGATTTTGTTGAGATAAGTTTCTCTTAATTTCGCAATTTTGTTTAATTTTGAATATTTCTTTTCTTTCATTATTTCATAATTCCAATTTCATTGTCATATTATTTCGCAATTGTCTCGAAAATCGTGGCAAGTTGCTTTTATGTGTCGAAGTCTTCCGACCACCAGTTCTGAGAAATCGACGCGTGTGATTGCGCGCTGAGGTTATGTGTGCAACACACAGTCGTTCGACATTTGATTCATTCGCTTTTAATTCATAGTTGACCATACAATGAGATTGTATTTTCTTTTACGTAGATAGTTATTTCTTGTTTTTTGAAAATTAACCTAAATATTTCAAAATTAACAGTTCTTCATTTTTTTTTTATGTTCATTCTATTTTATGAATACATTGCATTTTATTCGCTTAATCGCTTAAAGTATAAATGCTTACATAAGTCTGTTTTTCTACATTGAGTAAAATTTTATTTTTTAGTAAAAGATAAGTTTGTTTAAATATTAAACGATTTAGTAATTTTATCGATAATAAATATATAAATAATTAATTACTTGTTTAGTTGCATATAGCAACCTTAAATATTAATTTGAATTTAGTATTTGACAAAAATCATTTTTTTTCTCTTTATTTCTCTTTTGAAAACTTAACAATGTCTACTGAAAAAGACAAGCGCATCGCGCATATTGTCCAGAAGGGCAAAACTGTAGAAAGACAGATTCAAGCTCTTAGGGACTTTCTTGCTGGTGATTCGCCAGATCCAACAAACGCAAAGCTTCGTTCGACAAATCTGTCTTCATTATTTAATGAGTATAGTCGAAATATCGACGAACTTGCTAATCTTCAATCTGATCATCCTCAAATTGCCGCTCTTCCAGAGGTAGAAAACAATTATTATCAGGTTGTTAGTGCTGTTAGAAAATTACAGGGTGCAGAGCCAAGTGCACAGTCTACTCTTTTGAACACCAGTAATCTGACTTTCACTGAGCAAAACGATTTGCCAAAGCTTCCCGAAATCAGAGTTGCTACTTTCAGCGGAGACCAAAATGAGTGGGTTGCTTGGAAACACAGTTTCGTGGCTCTTGTTCATGAACGTCCAAACACAAGTAATTTCGTGAAACATTCTCTGTTGATTGGTTATCTTTCTGGTTTAGCTAAGGGCATCATCAAGCACTTGCCTCCCAGCGAAGCAAACTACTCAATTGTGTGGAAAGAATTGTGCAACGCTTTTGATCAAAAGCGCATTGTCATCAATGAGCACATCGATGCTATTTTGACTTTGCCTAAACTTTTCGAAGCAAAGGAAGATAGTCTCTCGAACCTGTTGAGTTTAGCTCGTCAGCATGTCAACATGCTGAAACAATTAGACATCGTTGTCAATGAGGAATTCATGATTAGAATTCTCGAGAGATGTTTGCCTACAAGTGTGGTCTCAAGATGGCAAGATCGTCTTGTAGCAAACAAACTTCCAAAACTGGATGAGCTGTTCAGTTTTATACAAAATACGATTTTCAGTCTTCATCAACTGGGAACACTCCCATCTTCCTCTAGGAAAAGACCTGCTGATAAGAGCAATCATGCGAAGAGTAAAGTCGCAAAGCATGAGGCTCGTTCTCTTGTTACTACTACTGCTGATGATAAGAAACATTCTAAAAAGTCATCCCCCAAGTGTAACGAAGCACATCATCTTTTTGTATGTCCTATTTTCAGAGATAAAATGCAACATCAAGAAAAACGGACTTTCGTAAATCAAAATAAACTCTGTCGCAATTGCCTTTATGCCCATACCTTTCCTTACAAAAGCGACAAACGCTGCAAAACTTGTGGAAAGGCTCATCATACATTGCTTCATGCAGACAAAGGGTCCAAGTCATCGGACAATACGAGTAATGGAGCAAATGCCTCTTCAAGCAGCACTCCGCAATCATGACTAACATTTCAGTCGTTCACGTCAAATGCCTTTCCTTCAGACTGTCAGTTAATGACCACTGCAGTCATCAAGTTTCAAAACGGTAGAGGAAATTGTTACGTGGCACGAGCTTTACTAGATTCTTGTTCAACAGTCAACTTAATTACTGAAGAATTTGCTAATAAAATAAATTACCAAAATTAGATTGTTCAATTAACCCATTACGGCCTAGCAGGACGTTTTTCGGTTGCACTTTTGAACCACTGTATTTTTAGTATAATCGGGGTCTCAGAAATATCGGAGTAGTCATTTTCGACGTAAAATTTAATGATCTTTCAGAATCTGACCTTCGATTTTGCAAAAGATGAGTGGTTTAAAAGTTATAAACAAATTTATTAAAAAAAAAACATGGTTTGAGAAAAAAAAATCGCTTTCATTTCGATTTTCAAAATGGAAATCATTGAAATACTTGCGTCATACGTACAAATATCGCGTTTTCGAACCCTAAACTAATAGTTATGACGATTTAGATCGACTGAAAAACGTTTAAACGCACAAAATGGCGGCCAGGCCCAAAAAAATGAAATAAAAAATTTCGGAATTTTTAACTCGAAAACGAAGAGCTTTAGGGAAAAAAGTTATAGAACAAAAAGTGCTTAGAATATATCAGAAAACTCGTGTGAATTTTTTCAGAATTTTCGGAGGTGATTTTGTAAAATCGGATTTCCCATATTTTCCGAAAATCTAAAAATCTATCAAAAAATTCTGAAAAAATTCACACGTGTTCTCTGATATCTTCTAAGCACTTTTTGTTCTATAAATTTTTTCCCTAAAGGCCTTCGTTTCCGAGTTAAAAATTCTGAAAGTCTTTTTTTTCACGCATCTAATTTACTACGCTGTTTATGCATATTTTCCTTTGTATCGATATTCATATCACTGGAAGTTGTTAAAATTTTACTGTATCAACTTACAAAGTACTTTTCCGATAAACCGAATTTCATCATCATTATTATTAACGTAATATCCTCAAAACGAATAAAATTTTCAAATATTTATTCCCAATATTTTTGAACATAATCTATAACATTTTCATCTTCTTCAAATATTTTTTGAATCTCTTCGTCTTTTTATCTTCTTGATAACTTTTGTACATTTCCTCATAATATGTCGCATTCCATGGCAAAGCGTCGAAAAAAATCTGATTACGTTCAAAGTATAGAAATTGCAGAACATGAAGATGGACATTCAGAAGCACTCATCATCCCTGATGATAACGATTCTGACTATCCATCTTCTGATTCTGAATCTAATGATTTCGATAAAAAACAGAATTCTATACCAAATGTCAGTTATTCTAAAGTACTGGACAGCTACGATGAAAATCAATCTAAATTAGAGCCAGACTACATTTATTCATGGAAAAATGGAGAATATAAGTATAATAATTACCCTGAAAATGAAAATCTGTTACCCGCAAAAACCATAAAGTTCATTCGTGACTCTTCTCTCGTAGAGTTATTTGAACTTTTCTTTTCTTTAGAGTTGAAAAATCACATAATTGATAGTACTCGTGAGAATGGTTATAATTTGACGATGATTGATTTAGATATTTTTGTGGGTATAATCATTACATCTATCTTCAATCAACGAAAGTCCCAAAGAGACTATTGGTCTAACAATTTATTGCTATCGTGTCCTATTATAATTGCAACAATGGCTCGAGACAAATTTCTTACAATCAAGTCGAAAATAAAATTCTCGAAACTAGAAGAACAAAGTTTAGATGACAGGGCTTGGAGGGTCAGAACAATCCTTGAAATTTTCAAAAAAAAACGCTCAGAAATTCGGTTATTTTTCTACAGCTTTGTCTGTAGACGAAATGATGGTAAAATTTCATGGAAGAACTGTGTTACTCCAATTTATGAAGGACAAGCCGGCACGTTTTGGAATCAAAATGTGGGGAATTTGTAGTCCTGATGGATATCTATTCGACTGTGACATTTATTGTGGAAAAGGGTCAAATATCTATTCAACTCATAACGACGTAAAATTATGTAAATGTGCCTTGGGAAGCCGAGTCGTTTTAATGATGGTACAAAAGTTACTTTTATCCACTAGCGCAAAAAAAATTACGGAGTATCATTTATACTTCGATAATTTTTTTTGTAATCCCGATCTCATGATACACTTAAAAAAAATAGGTTTGAAAGCTACGGGAACAGTGAGAAGAAATAGGGTGAATATTGAAAATGAAGTGGACAAAAAAGCAGCAAGAGGTACTGTATCAGTAAAACACGAGGAGAAAAGCGGTTCGAATTTTATAACTGTGATGGATTCTAAGCCTGTCTCGATACTTTCAACGGTCGCTGGCGTTGAACCACTATCGAGTACAAAAAGATATTCGAAAGAATCAAAAAGTAAAATCGAGATACCTTTTCCTATGGCAAATAAACTTTATAATAAACATATGGGTGATGTTGATTTGCACGACGGACATTGCAGTAACTTGATGCCATGTTTAAGAGCCAAAAAATGGACTTGGGCAATGTTCCTGCGCCTAATCCAGTCATCTCTTACGAATGCGCTTGTCCTTCATAATTTATCGAGCATTGAGAAAAAAATTGGTTCAAAAGACATTGCTCTGGCAATTGCTGAAAAATATTTAGCTAAAAAAACCGACGAACGACTTAAATGTCATATAAAGACATCAACTAAACATAGAAGAAATTGTGTCAATTTTAAAAAATGCTCAAAGAGAACAACAATTATGTGTATTGATTGCAAAGATTACTTTTGTGGCACCTGTTTCGATTTGAATCATAATAATTATTGATTTTTTTCATCTAAAATCATATTTTCAAAACTTAGAGATTAAAAAAAAAACAAAAAAAAAACATTAAAAAAACATAAAATGAAAAAAAAAATAAAAAAACATAAAATTGAAAAAAAAAACATAAAAATCATAAAAAAGACAAACGAAAGGTTCTTTACATACATTTACCTCCACGTGGTAAGAATCGGGCATCGGACAAAATTATTTGACGGTTAAAAATGTATTATTGTTATTTAAATATTATGATGATGGAAAATGGTCAAAATACCTGTGCATAATCAGATGCGTGAAAAAAAAACTTTCAGAATTTTTAACTCGGAAACGAAGGCCTTTAAGGAAAAAAGTTATAGAACAAAAAGTGTTTAGAATATATCAAAAAACTCGTGTGAATTTTTTCAGAATTTTCGGAGGTGATTTTGTAAAATCGGATTTCTCATATTTTCCGAAAATCTAAAAATCTATCAAAAAATTCTGAAAAAATTCACACGTATTCTATGATATCTTCTAAGCACTTTTTGTTCTATAACTTTTTTCCCTAAAGCTCTTCGTTTTTGAGTTAAAAATTCCAAAAATTTTTATTTCATTTTTTTTGGCCTGGCCGCCATTTTGTGCGTTTAAACAGTTTTCAGTCGATTTAAATCGTCATACTTTCAGTTTAGGGTTCGAAAACGCGATATTTGTACGTATGACGCAAGTATTTCAATGATTTCCATTTTGAAAATCGAAATGAAAGCGATTTTTTTTTCTCAAACCATGTTTTTTTTTAATAAATTTGTTTATAACTTTTAAACCACTCATCTTTTGCAAAATCGAAGGTCAGATTCTGAAAGATCATCAAATTTTACGTCGAAAATGACTACTCCGATATTTCTGAGACCCCGATTATACTAAAACTACAGTGGTTCAAAAGTGCAACCGAAAAACGTCCTGCTAGGCCGTAATGGGTTAACATTGGGGCAGTTGACGGTTCGAGCACTGTCTCAAATAATTATGTCAGAGCCACTTTTCAATCTGTTTACAATAATTCCTGTCATGAATTAAATTTCTTAATAGTTAAAAAAATTATTGATTATGTGCCTAATGAAACATTTCCTCGTGAACGCTTTGATATCCCTAAAAATATTAAGCTCGCTGATTCTGAATTTCACGTTCCTAAATCAGTCGATGTTTTGTTGGCTTCTAATACTACCTTATCGTTGCTATCTGTAGGTCAAATAAAACTTGATCATGAAGGTTCTCAGATTATCCTTCAGAAAACCATGTTAGGTTGGGTAGTTGGTTGGGCAGGAGGTTCCGATGTTCTAACACCTTCAAGTAGAGCGTCTTGCAATGTCGTGAAATTGGATTGACTACTTGAGAGATTCTGGAATATCGAAGATTTTGATCACGAGCCATTGAAGTCTCGCGATGATGTAGCATGTGAACGACATTATGTCGAAAATACTCAACGTGACGAGTCCGGAAGATATATCGTTCGTCTGCTTTTCAGAGATAACAAATTCGAGTTAGGTCATTCTCGAAGGCAAGCTTTACAGCGTTTTCAAGCTCTCGAAAGAAAATTCGGAGCCAATCCATCGTTCAAGGAACAATATGTAAAATCCATGGACGAGTACATTGCTCTGGCACGGTGGTCCTGAACCAACTTTAAATAGCATGGAAAAGCACCACGAAAAAAATCATGGGGTTTGATTCAGAAACACAAAATGTAAGCTCATTTAAATTTTTACAGAATTTCTGAGGGCCGTTTTTGAAAAAACTCATTTTTGAAAAAAGAAATATAAAAAAGTGAAAAAAAATCACGTTTATGTCAATTTTTTTCACGAAGAAAATATTTGCAACGTCTAAATATATTTTTCGAAGCTTAAGTAAAAGTAGTTTTTCTAATTGGTATTCAAATAAAAAATTCTCTATTAGCATAAATGATACGTTGGAAAATAGAAATAAAAATGACAATTGAGTTTTTGTAATAAATATATTCTTCATAAAACACATAATAAATAAAATAACTTCATATAGTAACGCATAACAATTATATAAGGTACTGAAACGGGGTAAGACCGTTTAAATATATTATTCGCGCAATTACACTAAACGGACGCGCGTAGTTAATCATATGCTTAATAGGTAAATCGAAGAGCATGTAAAGATAGGCGCCAGTCAACCAGTAAGTTCTCTAATTTAAGGAAAGTGAGTGGAAGCTATGAGATATAAGCGAATCAAAAGAAAACACTTGTTAGTAAAATGAACTAGATCTTTTATTATTCCTTATACTCTACAGAAGGTCGGCCCGCGCGTTTGTTTACGTTGACGCTCGCTCATCGACAACACGCTTTGCCGGTACGCTCGCTGCTCTTTGTTATTAGAGCCGTTACATGCACGCATCGAAAATAATAATTTATTTGTTAATCGGGTAACCGCGCTCGCGAGATTAAGCGGGCCAGCTTACCTTATATTTGCAGGTGATCAGAGAAAACGAAGAGCAGTCACATTGCACGAAACTGTTTATAATTGTTTTTGTTGCCGGTCGCAAACGCGCGCATGCGGTTATGGTTTCGCCCTCGATGGCGAAACCTCACACACTCTTTCGATGGCTCGTGCTCCCTTTCCTCTGCAGACGAGTGGCTCCCCGTGAACAACGGTCTCAGCTAGCTGGCACTTATCGTTCTCGTCGAGTTTCGGTATTTTGCGGCACGTAGATCGGTAGCTCAAAATGAAGGCGGGCGGACACTATGATGGTCTAAGCTTCACTGGTTCGAATTCTGTCGCGCGCATTCCGTCTGCTCGCGTGCCGAATTCCCTAGTTACGAATTTCGTCCCCCCGGCAGGTGCTGCCCTCACAGACAGCAATTAGGCTAAATAATCAGCGCTAATTTGACGTTTACCGTCACAGCACATATATAACACAGTTTATAGTTTTCGAGAATAGATTTCTAATTGATCGATCACTTATATGTGCCTCGAATTGTATTCTTGAACGGCTCTTAACAATTTTTCGGCATAGTTTGGATGAGACTCATGAACTTTATATTTCGCCCAAATACTTTGAAAATCGGAATGCAATGACTCCAAAGCTTGTTCGCAGTAGAAACCAAGACCTCTTCCAACTTTGGCACAAAAATCAGGTACATGAAAAAAAACTGCATAAACTTTCGGCGTAATTGAAATATCCAAAGCACTATAACTACTTCTAAACTTAGCGATACAAGACCGAAAATCAGGTTTAAGCACAGAAGAAAAACAAGAGTCAACCACGATTCGGAAATTTTGTAAGCACTGAACATATTTCAAGCAATTGATACAACATTTCGCTCGTAATAAATCAACACTATTCAAAAGTTTCTTACAAGAATTTCCGGCAAATGCTGGACTACCGTGCACGAATTCACGAGTTACATTACAATCGTGAGCCCACTGTAAGCTGTCTTTTTCGCAACAAGAGAGCATATCTTTATATATAGTATTTACAACGCCAATTAAAAGGTGTAATTCTGGTGGTGGTATTATATTAATGATTTTCTTATTGTTGTCTTGTGATGAAAACACTGGGTTATCTGTACAGTTATTATAATTTTTAGCATTTGTTTTAATACTTCCCTTTTTCTTCCAGGAACAGGCACTATTTTCACAATTTTGAATAGTTCTATAAACTCCACATTCATTGAGATTATTTTTCGATGCAGTGCACCACGTACAAGGATGCATGCTTGAGTGTGCCATTATACCTGTTAGAACATTTGCTAATCTCAAGTCCGTCGCTATTGTACTTTCAATATTTTTAATCTTCAAAAGTTGCCATAACATCAAAGCATTTTCATAATTTTCTTGTGTGTGTGCGACCAAGCCAAGCAATAATATTTTTTTCACACCTGTATCTTTAAACTGCTTTGCAGCAATACCATCCCTATAACTTTGCCGTGTATTTTTTCTTGTTTCTATAATACTATTATCGTCGTTTTGTATTGAAAGAGAGACTTTTAAGAAACCCCCACCTCCGTCTATTCCGAATTTCAAGTGTTTGTTATTAATATTTCTTTTTTCTACAATTGTGCTTACTAATTTTTCAACATTGTTACAAAATACGAGGGTTTGGGAGGAAATAGTTCTTTTTCCATTCGCTATATCTGTTATATCACAGTTTTTGACTTCAAAAAAAGAATCGAGTGTGTGATTTAGTTTCTGTCATTTAGTATTCAGATTGGATTCGAAAAATTTTCTATCATTCGTTGCAACTCGAATAGCTCTAGCACAACGTTTAGCTTTGTTTGATGATAAATTGAGATCTATTGAAATTTTGTTAAAGTCTTCAGCCGAAATTTGTCGACAAAGTTTTTTACCTTTTGGCTCAGATTTATTAACTTCTATTCGCATTCTCTTTCCGTGAGTTTGGGATAATGCTACTAGTTTACCTTTATCAAACGATGTATTTTTTTCTTCTGTTATGTTTTTAATCAATTTACAAGCCAAATGTTCCTTTTCTTTCAAGGTCAAATCTTGTGTGACACGTTCTATTTTTTTATAGTTCATAACTTTTCGACAAATATGTTTTCGTCCATAAGTGTAATTCCGTTGACACTTGGCACATTTTCTTTTCTCTTGGTTTGCAGTGTCATTTTTATTAGATGTAGCACGATTTGATCTTCCAATCATACACAAGCCGCACTGACAAATATTACCATCAACATTCCTCGTATTACGAATAACTTTTTTGAAACCAGAATAATCTGGCAAAGTGATTTTAATTGTACTATCACCATTTTCTTTTTTCTTCGCAGCACGATATACTTTAATTTTACATGAACTACAAATAGCACTGGGTAAATTAACATCATTAACATCATAACTGCAAACTTTTTCAATCTTTAACAGTAATGCACCAGCAATATCCCTCAAATCATTTTTCTTTTGTAAACACAACAAACATATTTTCGATCGATTTTCTTCGTGGGTTAGAGCGCGACTTTTTATTTTATGCATATTCGCGAAAGACTACAATACTTCTCATGCATTGACGCGATCAAAACAGAGAAATAACTTTCACAACACACCTGACAATCGAGTGCGACGCTCTGTTTCAAAATTTCGACGAAGACTGATATATTGATACGCACTATAATGAAAAGATGTACATCATTTATGCTAATAGAGAATTTTTTGTAAAAATAATTTTTTATTTGAATACCAATGAGAAAAATTACTTTTACTTAAGCTTCGAAAAATATATTTAGACGTTGCAAATATTTTCTTCGTGAAAAAAATTGACATAAACGTGATTTTTTTCACTTTTTTATATTTCTTTTTTCAAAAATGAGTTTTTTCAAAAACGGCCCTCAGAAATTCTGTAAAAATTTAAATGAGCTTACATTTTGTGTTTCTGAATCGAACCCCATGATTTTTTCGTGGTGCTTTTCCATGCTATTTAAAGTTGGTTCAGGACCACCGTGCTGGGTCACATGACCTTGTGTGATGATGAGTCAGAAGATGGCTATTATATCCCTCACCTTGCTGTAATGAAGGAATCCAGCGAGACTACGAAGTGCAGACCTGTCTTCGATGCTTCTGCAAAAACTTCCAATGGTATTTCGCTCAACGATGTTCTTATGCCTGGTCCTACAATTCAGGACACCATTTTCAAACAAATCTTACGATTCAGAACACATCAATATGTTGTTACTGCAGATATCGAGAAGATGTATAGGCAGATTCTTGTGCATCCTGACGGCCGAAAATATCAAAAAATTTTGTGATATTTTCAAGGTAGAATTCTTACTTTTATCCTCAATACGGTGACATTTGGTACTTCTAGCGCTCCATTCCTTGCGATTCGTACTCTTCATCAGCTTGCGCGAGATGAAGCGAAAGATTTCCCTCGTGTCAGCAAGCTTCTTCTTCGTGACTTTTATGTCGATGATTTCGTATCCGGTGCTGATTCTATCGAAGAAGTTTTGAGTATCCGAGATGAAATGATCGAGCTCCTAAGTCGTGGTGGGGTTGTCATCCGCCAATGGGCTTCGAATCAGGTCGCTGCTCTAAGTAACATAGGCAAGAAGATCTTCAATCTTGAGTGTGGAGTAACAGAAAACTCTATTCACAAACTCTAAGAGTCATTTAGGATTCTGAACGAGATGTCTTCACTTTCTCTGTAAAAACTATCGACCCTCAAGCTACGTCTACAAAAAAAAAGCTTGTGTCTGAAGTTGCCAAGGTTTACGATCCTCTGGGCCTTTTGGATCCCGTAATTCTTGGTGCTAAGGTATTGATTCAGGATTGCTGGAAAGCATTAATCAATTGGGATGAATCATTGCCACAAAACATTCATACGAAGTGGGTATCTTTGGCTAACCAGCTTCCTTGTTTGCAAGATTTTGCAACTCCTCGACACTTACTATGTCCCAATGCTGTCTCGGTTCAGATCATCGGATTTGGGGACGCATGCAAAGATGGTTGTGGTGCTTGTATTTTCATCAGATCAATTGACAAAGATGGCAAAATTACCATCAGGCTGGCTTGTAGCAAATCTAAGGTAACACCTCTTAGTGGTCTTACGATTCCTCGTTTAGAACTTTGTGCTGCAGTCATGCTGAAAAGGTTGTATGTCGAATTGAAATCGCAGCTGGACTGTCCCATCTCACGCATTATTCTCAAGTCTGATTCAAAAATAGTGCTTTGTTGGATTAAAAAGGCTCCTCATTTATTGCGAACGTTTGAAGCAAACAGAGTCGCTGAAATCCAAACCTTAGGTAATGAAGTCGAATGGGGATACGTCTGCTCAGCCGACAACCCCGCTGACGCTTTATCGCGAGGCCAACTGCCTTCTGAGTTTATGGTAAACTCTCTGTGGACTTCTGGTCCCAAATGGCTAACTCTTCCTATCAATGAGTAGCCTGAATCAGTCAACTCCGCTATATCTGAAATTCCTGGATTGAAGAAAACCACTTGTTTAATTACCACGCTTTCACCTAGTGACATGTACTCTCGTTTTTCTAGTTTTCAACGTTTGATTCGAGTTGTTGCTTACATGCGTCGTTGGATAGGCATAAAAGCGAGAGGCAAAAGTGTCCAACTCTTTCCTGATACCAAAAATAAAGATGAACGAATGGTAAAAATTAGGAAATTAGTTCCTCCTTTAACCCGTTCTGAGGTGGAAAAAGCTGAGATTCAGATCTTCACTATGGTCCAGCTTGAATGTTTCCCCAAAGAAATAAATCTTCTAAAGACCGCTCTGGAGTCTAGTCCAGGCAATTATGCAGTTCCATTTAGGAAAAGTACAAAATTCGATGAGTTGAATCCTTTCATAGGAGAAGATGACTTAATCAGAGTAGGTGGCCGATTAAAAAAAGGCTAAATTAATTTACGTTACAAAACATCCTATTCTGTTGCCAAGTAATCATCATGTCACTGATCTCATCATACGTGACTTGCATGAGAATAATCTTCACACTGGTATTCAATCGACTCTATATCTTCTCCGGCAAAGATTTTGGATTCTCAATGGAAAAAATCAGATTCGTGGCATTATTCATCGTTGTATCGAGTGCATCCGCCAATCTCCTAATATGATGCACGCTAAAATGGCTGATTTACCTGAGTCTCGTGTGACTCAATCGCTGCCTTTCAATCACACTGGTCTGGATTTCTTCGGCCCTATCCTCATCAAAGAGAAGAAAGATCGATATCGAAGCTTCATCAAAAGCTACGGCTGTGTCTTCGTATGTATGGCTTCAAAAGCCGTACACATCGAGCTTGCTTCCGATCTTTCAAGCGAAGGCTTCTTAGCAGCCTTACGACGGTTTGTCAGTCGAAGAGGGGTCCCTTCGCATATCTTCTCAGACAATGGTACTAATTTCGTTGGTGCAAACAGAGAACTTCTCGAAATATATAAGTTGTTTGAAACTGACGAGTTCAAAAAAGATATAAGGAGTTACACTCTTGTGACAGGGCTATAGCGATGCTCGCTGGCCCTGTGTGCGGCACTCTCCTCGCGTGAACGCAGCGACCAAGTGTACGCTATATAGCGACTACATACTTGTGTCGTTGCAGGATCTGGAGAGAGGAGCGCGATGATCGGCGAGGTGTCGCCGTGAATGCGAGTGAGAGCGAGAAGAGCGAGAGAGAGAGAGAGCGATTTTGACTGATTTTTGACGGCGAGAGAAGTGGGAGCGCAGCGGCGCGAGGCTTAGAAATTAAGAGAGAAGAAGGGTAGTTAGGCGCGAACGTTCGAGTAATTAGGGCCGCCTAAGGAGAGACTGGACGAGACGACATTTTCGGCCAGAGAGGAACGACTGCCAGGAGTGCGACTGCTATTTGCGAGGAGAGCCAGGAGTTCCAAGCCGAGCCCGGACAAGCAGCGACCATTCGCCGTCCACGAGGCAAAGGCCGTGTTGCGGCCTCTCCTGCAGCAGTCTTGGTCATCGCCAGGGCGCCGTTTCCAGCGGGCCTACGCTTTCGCCGGCGTCGCCTCTCTGTCGACGGACCGTCGGCATCCGGTGGGTCCAAAGCCAGTTTATCTCTCTCGCGTCAGCTCTCGCTCGATTACGGACATTTGCGTATTTCGATTTTATCGCGCACGCTGAGCGATCTCGCTCGCGTGATCTCGCGAACTCTTGTCGCGAAAGGGCTGAGCGAGCGCGCTCGCCGCGGCAAAATTAATCTTGTAGCGATATTTGTGAAAAGGCGTCAATAAATGAGATCGCCATATGTAATATTATTGAATTAGAGTGTCCGTTTCTTTGTATCAACCTTCCCAAACCAGCGCGAACTTCGGCCTGTGATAGTCAGCGCCGGCTTTCTTTACCGAGAAAGAACCCAGAAAAATTAGCAGAGACCAGCCCATGGCGCACGGAGGCTGACCACTCTTGCATGGCATCCCTTGCTTAATCTCGGCGGGTTTTCGTTGTTCGTATCGCTTTGTTCTGGTTGGAAAGAGGTGATCGCGATAATTTCCTTTGTGATAAGTTTTGAACAGTGCGGTGTCTCGGCCGATCAGCGCTTTTCGGCGAATTCGCGGAGTAGCGAGCGAGAGCCGTGGAAATAAGTTGGAAAAGGGAAAATTTTAGTTGCATGGGACATTTTGAGTTTTCGTTATTATTGTGTCGTCAACGCATTTGGCTCGAGTTACGCGGAAGCCTGGAGCTAGTGAAACGGGCTGAGGCGAGTATCGCGGTGTTGTGATTAAGCGATTACGCTGTAAATTTGTGTGCTGTTATTACGCAGATTGCGATTGCTCGAGCCGGGTGTTTTGGCTAGTCAAATTTGTACGTTTGAATGTGTGTTTGTGAATATGAAAGTTGCGAGAATCGCAACGATTATTCTCGGCTGTTTGGATTGTTGCTGAGCGTGAGCTCAAGGTTAGACGTGTTTATAGGCGGAGTAAGGTTTTTGTGTTGTGTACTCGCACCATGGGCATGCCGGCTTGTGCACGTTGAGCTGTTCTCGAAAACAAAGAGGATAAACACGCTTAGGCCGAGTGAAGGCGAAATAGGCCGAGGAAAGCTTGGGTCTGTTTTGGTGCCTGTTTGTTTACCGCGCGGGGTCGCGTGAAATACGGTGACGAGATCGCCCAAGCATCGGAGAGCTGCGGAATCGCGGCCGCGGCCAGAAGCGTTTAGAAGGCGGGTTATGAGAATTCCTGTAGTAAAGTTAATATGGGAGCATATTCAGGCAATGCAAATTCAGGAATTGCTGACATGGATGACGTCGAACGGATTAGTTACGGACGGCACGACCGCGATCGTGCAAGACAGGGCATTTCGCGCATTTTTATATAGCGTGCGTCATGAACCGGCACCGCCTGTGAGCGCCGACGATTTTCTATCAGGTGAAATACCGACTGTCGTTGATGCGAGAAGCGCATCATCGGCGCGGGTCGGATCACTGCTGGAAATTTTGAAGGCGGAGGTGAACGCAGCGGTAAGCGCTGGGCGAGAGCGGAGTGACGTCACGCGGGAGACACGTGCGTTGCCATCGGAGACGCGAGTTCGCGCCACAGATGGTGCGATTGCACGTGAGGAGGTGCGCGGAAGGAAACAAAGAGCGGGCTTGCATCGTTCGGTGCCGAGGGACTTCGCGCAAGCTCTGGGTACTGCGAACACGCAAACAGAGATTGTGCGAGCGCGCGCGGAGTGGCGATCGGAGAGTTTCCATGGTCGGGAGCCATCGATGTGGCAGCGCGCAGTAAAAACGTTTTGGCCGGCGTGGCTGACTTCGGCAGCATCTAGGGTAAATAATGCTGAGAGCCGGGGCGAACGCGAGGGCATATCGCAGGTAGCAACGCGTGGCCCGGGAAGTACGAGCACGCCGGTGCGCGATGGCGCGCAGCTGGGGGCGAGGTACCGACCTTGTGAGATGAAATACGATCAGAAGCGCGTGAATGACACCGCGGGTGCGCGGTTAGGCAAGTATGAGGCCGGTAGAGAGCCTGATGAAACAGAGGACACGGACTACGATTCGGCGCTCGATGACGACGAAACGTGGCTAGAGAGCGCGTCGGAGGAAGAGCGCGCGAGCAAACCGAGGGACCGATTTCGTAATGGGCAACAAGCAGACGCGGTCACGGCGGTAAGAAGTTGGTCTTTGGCATTCTCGAAGAAGGACGGACTGTCAGCGGAGCAATTTTTGAGGCGATTGCATGAAATGCAATCATTTTACAGATTCAAGGACGCGGAGATATTGTCGGCGTTAATGTTGTCGTTTACTAGCGCGGAAATGGCTTTATGGTGGCAACGAATCGCCCGGGCTGGGTCACATTGCAGGATTTTAAAGATGAATTCCAGCGCCAGTTTTGTCCGCGGCGATCGCGCGAGGATGTTTACGACGCGCTACGCCGCCGAACTCAAGGCGAAGATGAGCCATTAGGTGAATTTCTCACGGCCTTCCTGTATATTGCGAGTAGGTTAGAACCGAAGCTTTCGGAACGTAGACAGCTTGAGTTGATTAAAAATAACTTGTACCCGAAACTTCGTAATTATATCAGGGCGAAGAAGGTTCAAACGCTCAGAGACCTTCGCGTGTACGGGGAGAGATTTGAACGCAGACGGGACATCGAGAATCGCTACCGCCCGCCGCCAGCACCACAGGAGTCGTTGATGCCAGAAGTCGCTTACCACGGAGATTCGTCAAAAAGAACCGCGAAGACTAGCAGCGGTGCGAACTTTGCGATGGGCGAACGAGTTTATGCGATCGGGAATGAGAATAGTAAGGACCGCCAAGGAAAGAAAAATAAGTCGGCAACAAAACCCGTAGGCAGAAGCCGCAATCCGGATAGTGAAGGTGTAGCTCAACGGAAGGAAGCGGATTCGTCAAAAGAGTTGCCGAGAGATGTAGTGGCCGTGTTATCCCAGCTAGCTCATTCGCAGAGGGGCCCGCCCAGGGGAAATGCGAGCCCTGCTGCGAGGAACGCTGCAGGGCGCGTGACCTTTCAGGGCGTATGCCATAAATGCGGGGGGCTGGGACATCGGAAGGCCGAGTGCCCAAGCCCGGAGAACTTGAAGTCGACGCGAACAAGTTCGGAGCCGTTGGGGGCTGGAGGCACGAGTGGCAGAGGGATTTCTGACCGAAGTGCGAGTCGCAATCGGGGAAAGAACCCAGTGCGCTGTTACAAGTGCCAACAGCTGGGACATTACGCGAACCGGTGTTCACAAGGAAGTAGAGCGGAGCTAACTTGCCAAGGCTGCGGTAAAGAAAATAAGACGTTGGAAACATGTCCGCAATGCCAGGTGTGGCTCAAAGCTCTGGAAAACTTAAAAGCGGGACCCAGTTGCCCGACGGATTCCGCGTAGTTGTGCGTATTAGGGCACCCAACGGGGCAAAAGTCGCGTTCATGAGGCTGTTTTATAGCAAGTTCGCAGAGTTTCAACAGCAGGTTGAGCAAAATGAAGCTAGATTGGGCGCGAATAACGCGAAAACAGAGGCCTCTATGCAACGCGAGGGCGCGAAAGATAGAATCAAGGAGAGTTCGAGGAAAGAGTTCGACTGGATCGAATTTAACGAACGATGGACAAGAATGCGTGAAGCAGGGCCCGAGCGCGAGCAAGGAAAGCGAGCGTTGGAGTCGGGGGAAATGCTGGATGCACGCGAATCAGAGCGAAATCGAGGAGATGGCCAAGGGAGTCCGACGCTCGGGCGTGGGTCGAGAGGTAAATCGACGAGAACGCCCGAAGTGGATCAGCCGGGCATGAACTCGATGGAAACTGCAGAGACCGCGCGGTCTTCGAGAGGTCCAGAGGGGAAAGCGGCGCGTGCGCGGTCGGTTCCGGAACAAACTCGGACTGAGAGATCGCCTCAGCAGGCTGGAAACTCAAAAACTGACGACCTTGACGGTGTAGACGAGACGTCGTCGCGATCCGT